TCTATCTATCTATCTATCTATCTATCTATCTATCTATCTATCTATCTATCTATCTATCTATCTATCTATCTCAGTAGCCAAGCCTAGCAACTAGCCTAAGGCTTGCCATCAATGTACTAATTCATGTTAACAACATGCTAATAATCATGGTAGTGATTTGTTAAAACATGCTAGCAGTGTGTTAAATCATGCTAACAATAATTAGCTGTGTCTCATTTAGAAGGCTGCGCCCTCTGGAGGTTGCATCCTCTCTAGGATGCGTATACGGAGTGTCCTCAACCCTAGGTTTAAACGAGATGGCCTTCGTAGCACGGGCGGAAAAGGAAACAGGAGGTATCACATTGTTATGCCAACACGTAGCGTTGTTGCGTCTCACACTTGAGGAAAAATTAATTAGGAAAATTATTTCTAAATTTGGAAAGTTTTTTGTGGCAATTTTGCCTAAGGTTGTGGCCCTACCAAAGTCAGAAGAACACCTGCTCCAGGTTGGTGCAGGCTTTGCTTCTCTCACCAATCACCAGGCATTTGATAAAGCTGTTGGAGCCATTGATGGATGCCATGTGAGAATAAAACCACCAGCTGGCCCTGATGGACAGTGTTATAAAAACAGAAAGCTGTTTGCCTCCATCCTGCTTCAAGGGATATGCGACCATCCAGGGGCATTTTTAGACATTTTTGTATGTAGGCAGAATATATATTTTTCTTCTTCTTTTGTTCTTAGGCTTACTAGGAAGTCAGCATGAGAGCTCACACAACACATGACATCTTTTTCACGATTTATCTTTTATTTTTGTTAATGTGTAACCAAAGATATTTATTCATTAATGATTGTGTTTAGCCATTTAGAATGTATTAATTTAAAGATTTAGTGAAATGTTGACAACGGAATTACCTTTTTAATATTTGTAAGTAACAATAGTAAGTAAATATTGTAAATATTTTTGTTACATTTTAACAATTAATTTTTCGAGTACATTAAAGAGCCTATCACTCCTCGCCCTGTCTTCTGCATCTCTCCTTTCTTCCCACTCCTTCTGACGTGCCATGTCTTCCTTCAGGAGCTCAAGAAGAGGATCTGATTAGTTTTTTTCGCTTTCTTGGCCGTGACTGCTCTATCCCTGCCCTCTCTTGCTGTGCTGCTTCCTGCGTAGGCTCAACAGAACTGGAACCTGGCTGTGGTTCGTCATCAGGCAGTGAAGCAATGAGAACGGGGAGAAATGGAAGGCCTCTGACCCAACATCTCATCCATCAGAACAAACCACGGCCAGGTTTCAGCAGTTGGCTTTCCGTTGTTCAGGCCCTCACCTGACCCTGGATGTTTGCATTCCTAAGACAAAAAAAAATGTTAATGGTGGTGGCATAAATACTCACTCATGCCACCTCTGAGCCTCATTAAATGTCTGAAAATACACCTACGAGCCACTTTTGTGTTCTTCTGTGCTCTTCTGTAGTACAAATGATTTTGCTTATACTGATTTTATATGATTGGTAACTTATTCTTCTTATTCTATTGTTTAATTAGAAAGTGTAAAAAGCTTATGAATATACATTTTTGAATTTGACATAAAAGATGACATACTTTTAATAAAATTAGAAAAATGGCATAAAAAACAAAACAAATGCCCCTGTAAATCACTTTGAGTCAAATATCACCTCGTAATGGGAAGGCAAATTTTTGATCAGAATTTTTTATTATTGATCAGAAGGTGCTCCTGAATCTTTTGACTGTGCCAATTATTATCAACATAATGTATTCTATATGCATTGAAACTTAAAAAGTTCATTTTTATAGAGTTGAGACAACAGTGAACAACATGAAAGTGACCCCGAAATGTAATACCAGAGAGTTAAACATATTAATTATTTCTCGCCTTGCTAGCAAAGTACTGTTAAACGTTTAAAAATCACTAAAGACTTGTGATCATGTTTTTCACACCTGTAATACAACAAAAAAAATGAAGAACTTTTAAACACCACATCTCCGCTTGTGTGTAGATCTGCCGGCGCCGACATTTTTTCAAATAAACGACGGTTATTTATGGCGACGCAAAGAATTGTGGGTTATCTGTAGCAGCGAAGGATACACCTCATGCATCCTCCGAACTCCTGTGAAAGAAGGTCGCATTCGGAGTGTCCTACTGGCTTTTATAAAGACACTCCGTATCCGCATCCTAGAGAGGGTGCGACCTCTGGAGGGCGCAGCCTTCGAAATGAGACACAGCTAATGTGTTAGTCACATACTAATCAAGCTAGAAACATGTTAACAAAATGCTAACTACATGTTAATCATGCTAACAACATGTTATCAACATGTTAATCACATTAGAAAAATGCTAGCAACATGATAATCACGTCAGAAACATGCTATCAAAATGTTAACAAAATACTACTCATGTTAGCAACATGCTGGTAACTGGCTAATCATGCAAAAAACATGTCAACAGCATGTTAATCATGCTAGAAACATGATAAACAACATGAGACTACATGCTAATCATGTTAAACAACATGCTAATCATACTAGCAACAAGCTAGTAACATGTTAACAACACGCTAATCATACTAGCAACAAGCTAGCAACATGTTAACAACACGCTAATCATACTAGCAACAAGCTAGCAACATGTTAACGACACGCTAACCATGCTAGCAAAATGCTAGTAACATGTTAACAACACGCTAATCATGCTAGCAACATGCTAGCAACATGTTAACAACAGGCTAATCATGCTAGCAACATGCTAGTAACATGTTAACAACACGCTAATCTTACTAGCAACAAGCTAGCAACATGTTAACAACACGCTAATCATGCTAGCAACAAGCTAGCAACATGTTAACAACACGCTAATCATGCTAGCAACATACTAACAACATGCTAATCATGCTAGCAACATGCTAACAACACCTATCTAATCTATCTAAATTGTCAACTTTCAAGCTTTTACAACTGCTTTAAACTTCAGGCTTTCTCAGGCCACCCTAAAGCTTGTCTTGACAAACTTTTTTATCTAGTTGAATTCTAAAATACAAAACATTCCTGTAGGTTCTCAAGACATTTAACATACAACACAAACAAGGGTACAATAGCAACTACAAAAAAGGTATTTTATTCATTCGCTGAAACGGTATAGATTTAAAATGAATTTCAAGCAGTATTTATTTTCGAATTGTTATTTTTTTTATTGCATAACAAGAACAATAACAACATACATATACAGAGGATCACAGTGTATTCAACTATTATCTATTACATTCATAATAGCGTCAAAGGAAGCAACAGAAAGAGAGAAAAAAAGACATTTATTTGGAAATCGTGAGCTAGACCTTGTGAGGCGTGACGTCACAGGTGCGCGCGCAGCTCTCTAGTGCTCATCGGCCACGTGACGTCAGACAGCAGCATGGCGGCCAAGGTGACTCCGGCGACACCGCGCTTGACTGAAAATTGTTGTTTTCGTTTGTTTGGCCGTCGACTTTTAATTACAGCTGCTGATTATTAACTGGAGAAGGGCTAATAGAGCAGTAAATGGGATGAGCAGAGACAGCGATGAATGTTTTTAACGGACCGGCGCGAGCATCACTGAGCTTATCGCTGCGCTCGCGCTGAGACTTTGACTGAATTTAGTGTCTGTGAGGATCA